GGCACATTCTAGATGCATGGCGAATCCTGGGGATTGGACTGGAACGCACTTTATTTTCCAGCATTTTCCGTGAGCCCGCAATTTCATTTGCAATTCAAAGCTATTCAGCCCATGTGAGTTTCTCAGAGAACCTCTTTCAACACAGATTTCTGTCTTTTTCTGATCAGAACGCCTTGAAAGGTGCCTAATTACTATAACAGTTTCATGTGAGAAAGAATTTCTTAAAGTGCTTCAAGCTTCATCGAGACAAAACGTCTGCAGAAGTCCCTCAATCCCTCGTCCCGATGCAGAAGGCTCTTCTCACCTATACCGTAGTTGCTTATCTCGAGCACTGGTCTTCAATTCACAGGGGAAAAGGTGCAAGTGGCGTCACTCAGGAGGGGGATCCGTAGACCAACCTGGGACAAAGCCATGACCCAGGAACAACTACCACGGGCGAAGAATGTCTCCGTCAAATTGCTGTACTCACTAGGTCAGTAAAGGGTCGACAAGAGGTCTGACAAGAAGACTGGCAAGTTGTGGGACTCTGGAACTCCTCACAGCTACTCGGGAGGTCACTATTTCATCATAAGGCTCCAAAGCTGGAAAGCCTTATGATGAAATAGTGACCTCCCGAGTAGCTGTGAGGAACGGCCGTTTCTGAAATAGGCCCAACCCCTGCATTTCCTCCATAGAGATCGCATGCAAGAGCGTTCAAAGCTGCAGGGTCTTCTCACTCTTGTGTACGAGCGCTGGTAAGAGTCGAACTCTCTCGTGAAAGCTGGAATGTGCCTATCTACACTCCATATCCCAAAGATTGAAAGGGTGTGGTTGCATACATCCATCTGGTCCTGGCATATGATGCGTTTTTCGTGAAGTGCTTCCATTTTGGCGAAATTTCATTCTTTGATAAGACATAGAGATCAGTAAAATTGTGCCAAAATTGTGATATTTCCACAAAAGCTCGTTCAAGCAAAGTACAGCCACGCCATCCCTCTAACATAAGATGTGGAGCATAACTGCAAGGAAGGCTCGACAATGGGGGAGGGGTGGGCATATAGGCAAGTAATCGCAGATGTGGAATCCACCCCAAGGCTGAGGCAAGCAGACCCACGATCAGAATGGGTGCTGAACACTCCCACCATCCATCTTTACTGCCAAGCGGCTCAAAGAAGTACCCAGTACGCAGGCCTTAACCACACAATTCGGCCCTTATTCTAGTTCTCAATACTCGCTGCTAATAGGAATGCCTTGAGAACGGGAATTGAAAAGAAAAGATGCACTCAGCAACTGAATCGAATTTCCCAGACGGGATAGGAACGCATATTCAAGGGAAGGGCTTATCGAACCTGACCAGTTGGAACAGGGCATGCCTTGTCGTTGGGGAAATTTTTGCAGAACACTACCTCACCACGGTCCCCCTATCCCCCATCCTACCTATCCCATCTTCCGATATTGTCCCAGTTTCCTACCACTGCTGAGTTTCTCCCCATAACTCCTCCACTGGTATTTTTCCCGAATCTCCCCCCACTTTCCCAAAATAACTGCCGCGGCCGGAGGAGGGAGGGGTGAATGTACTACCAGCGACCAAATACGTCCCCTCTCACTGGGACCACCAGCTGCTGTGAATGGAATATCCAGCATGGTACATCTGCTTCTGTCCAGTCTTTATTCGTACTTGCTCACCTCCTCCATCCTCACCCCCTCCCCTCCTCCCCT